TGGAGGTCGTGGACATTGGAGGCCTCCCCCCAAACCTGGATGAGGTCCACGATGTCCGCACTAAACCAGGTGGGCGCTTGCCTCTTGCAGCCCCAGGCAGGCTCCCGGGAGTCACCAGCCTGGTCCCGGGAAGAGGCGGAGGGCTGGGTGGCAGCAGGTGGCTGGCTCATGCTGTGCCATGTGCAGGGTCTGCTGGCTGGGTGCTGGCAGGCTTGCAACTGGCATGAGCACTACAGCCAGACTGTGCCCCTTTAAGTGCTCCAGGGCCGGGAGGGGGGCAGAAAAGTTTCCCTGGTTTGGCACAGAGTGGCCACCAGGGCAACCTGGGAAGGGCTAGCCTCCCACTAGTTCGAATTAAGTGGCTACACAGCCCTTAATTCAAACTACTTAATTCTAACTAAGCATTACTCCTCGTAGAATGAGGTTTATCTAGTTCGAATAAGCGCTCCGCTAATTCGATTTAAGTTCGAACTAGTGGTTTGCATGTATAGATGCTATGAAAGTTAATTCGAACTAACGACTGTTAGTTCGAATTAACTTTGTAGTGTAGACATACCGTAAGTGAAGAAGGTGGGGTCCCGAAAAGATCTTAAATACCTTTGCCTCGAGGCTCTGCTTCTAAAAACTTCCAGAGTCACAGATGCCCTGGCTCTGAGAAAAAACAAAACAAATCAAAGCAAAAAAACAAAAGCTGCCACCATCAAGTGATTTACCCTAAAAATACACCAGGGAACACTTGAATTCTTCCTCCCACCCAGGGTACCCCGAGCTCTTTTGCCCCCAAAGAGCTTGAAAAAAAGAAAAGAAAAAAACAAGCTGCCATCTCTGGTAGCTGACTGCCCAGTCTCAGGCAGGCAAAAACACACACAGACCCCTGCTGCTTTCCAGGACACAATCAAATAATCACCTTAAAAAGTGATTTTTATTAACAAAACAAAAGATATACTTGGTAAAGCATACTTGGTTTCCAGATGTTACTGAGCAATTAGGAAAGAACAAATCAAAACACAAAGAACCATATGGCGAATGGGGAAGGGAAAGCATGGATTCACACACAGAAGTTTAAACCAAACAACAAAAAAATGAAGAAAAATACTCTGATTGTGATTAGATCCACTTTTTCCCCTTTATTTACTCACAATCTTTTTCTGGTTCAGTCCACTCCCATGCACCGAATTCCTTGGAGGCATGATAGTCCTGCCTGAGTTTAAATTATCCTGTCTCTTAATTCCTGGCTTAACTCTCCTACATAAGAAAACAGGCAAGGTTGATAGCCCTGTATCCCCATTGGTTCTTCTGTTCCCCAGCCAATACCCTTAATAGAAACCTGAGTTTAACTCCTTAGTCACTGGGTCCTGCCAGCACTCCTTCTATCTATCACATGCCCCTCCTCCCACATCACAGACACTATGGTAAATTCAAGTGTTCCCCCCTGTTCTTTTAGGTTAAATCACTTAATGGTGGCAGCTTTTGTTTTTTTCTTAGTGCCAGGGCATCTGTGACTCTGGGAGTTTTTAGAAGCAGAGTCTCTAGGCAAAGGTATTTAAGGTATTTCTGGGCCCCCACCTTCTGCACTTGGAGTGCCAGAGTGGGGATCGGCCCTGACATGGTGACAGAGGTGGGATCATTTTGAACCAGAGACACAGACCTCAGGATTTTAAAAGGACACTTTTTTCCTCTTTTGCTGCCTGAGGGGGGAAAGGCACACAGAAGGTTAAATCTGCACAACAAGAGAGTCCAAACCATAAGTAGAGAGCAAAGCATCATAACAGGAAACAAGTTATACTGTGGATTATATGGGAGGTTCCTATTTACTGATGAAAACTTGGCTTTTGTGTTTTCAAAATGAAATATTTATTCTTCACCAGCACAAATTCATTCATCTGTAACAGATTTTAAAACCTCTGCATGATCCCTCTTTTCATGTATAGAGCTTTTATCATCATGTTTCTCTGACTTTACTGCACCATGTATAGCTGATACCCATTCACCAATAAAAAAGTAAGAAACCACATAAGGGATTGTATTGAAAATCAGACTAGTCAATTGCCACAGAAATCTGATTGTTTAAGAAGAACTCTCTCTCTATGCATACACAATATGTATACATATTGTGCCATAAAAATAAATTGATGTGGTAAAGAAAATGTACCCGAAGGGATTGATTTGCAATCAAACATCTTCTTGGACTTGCTGCTTCTTGCACTGATCAAAGAGATTTGGCTTCACAGTGAACCTCTAGGAATGCAGGACACTTGCTTTTTGCAGGTTAGAAGTCAGGTGAGATGATCCTTGGAGATTCAAGAATGAGCTCTGGGGAGAGGGGGATCCCTCCAAAGCAGCATGATGTGCTGTGTTCACTCATATTTCAGGATTTGACTTCATTTGGAGAGAAAATCCAGCTGGCTCAGAGCCCTTACAAGTATAAATGCTGATTTTCCAGTACATATGGCAGTACCATTCAAAGAGCTATGACAACGATACTGTTTATAGCTCTGAAAATGGCGCTGCCATCTGCACCATGCATGCAGTGCTTCTGCTCCCCAGGAAGGAAGGGTTTGTAGAAGGGCAACTTCTTTGGCCTGCTCTTCTATTGTGCTACAGTGTGGCAATGACACAAAGCAACACAATGGACTGGATGCCAAGACACTGGTAATCATTATGGGGAATTATCACACTGTAGGGGCACTGATCCCCTCTTTTATTCTAACAGGATGCTGGGGGATTTCATGCTGTCCCTTCAATATATTTGCAAATCCTTGTTTTTCCTCTTCTTTTGTGCAGCTTCAAGGTGCTGTGTAGAAGTGAGTTTCATTCTATTTCTTTAACTAGCATGGTTAGTAAATGCTGTGAATATTTGGACATTAATTCACCACCCCCCACACAAAAAAGCATTCCTATGAAACTTCATACAAAGTGCCACCCACTTTGTACCGAGTAAACCATTGGGTACAATTTCTCCACTTAATCCCATTGGGCTGCTTGTAATGAAGTGTGGATAATTGTTATTGTCCTTTTGAGCAAGAAGCCATGGCCCAGCTGTGTTATTTGTTGTTGGTTCTCAGTAGCATTCTTTAGAGCCAAAATCTTTCTTCATCATCCTGTTTGGAGAATGGCGTATGCACTTGTATGTCTGTTGGCAAAGCAACTTCTAGTCTGGAACAATTGCCACATGATGGGGAGCTATAGCATATAAAAGAGTGCATCCCTCCCACACTAAAGAGCTCTTGAAAGTGAGGAAAAACCCAACACCAAAGTGGGAGCTGTCATTCATCACTGGCAGTGGTGTTTAGACTGTTGCCTTCAGGGGTGGCTTGGGTATGGAGGAAGTGTGTATTTGACTATGGTGTGGATTACAAATATCTTTCCTACCCACTGGTTTTTAATCAGAATTATTTGAAACCTCTCTGTCACTATGGGAAGAAAGCAAGGTCACTCCTGCCAAGGCATGCAAACCCCAGCAAGAGCAAGACAGGAGCTTGAATGGCTCTGCCTGAGCCTCAGGGAAGAGGAAATGATGGCTCCTCTCTCCAGTGCAGCCACCCAGAATACCGTAAGAGAGGGGAAAAGAGACGCTCCGAAACAGCCATCAATTATAGTATAGTGACTCTCTGGCCCCAGCCCAAGCTAGAGCAGCCTAAGAAGTAATGTAACATGTCCCAGCTGGGAATGGTGTCCAAGGATTCACGGGCTAGCTGGGGATAACCAGAGAACTGTGTATTTCCCCTCCAAAGCCCTTGTACTGACATATCCCTTGCACTGATCGGAGGGTGGTGTAGAGGCTGGCTCTGTGCTCTTTGGACAGTCCCCAAGCAAGAGAAGCTGCAGGAGAGGATTTGTTGAGTGGTTTCTGCTCCTGCTGTGCTGCCCACGTGACACAAAGGATGCAGAACTGGGCAGAGAATTTACCATTAGTAAAAATTGTGGCCCCTTAGATTTCTTAAAATGCTGTGTTTAACCCTCAGTCTAAAAAAGGACCTAGAGTGGAATTCAGGTATAGCTGAACATTTGCAAGTCCCACTGAAACCAAAAGAAGAGGCTCAGGATAAGACCTTGGGTTAATTACATCTACATATTCTTTCACGGTTACATTTCTAGGCTACACAATGACATTCATTACAAAGGAACATTTTTACCTTAAATTTCACAAGCCACAATGCCTTCTGATTTTAAAGAGAGATTAAACAAATGGCTAAAATTTATTTTAGGAAGTACATTTACCTTTCAGAAACATAAACTACTTCATTTCCCACTGACAGAGCAATTTAAAATGCATTAAAGAATGACCCTAAGTTGAAAAAAAAGTGCTGCGTGGGTTTGAACATGAATTTCTGACTAAAATTAATTGCATTCTTATGTTGGAGTCTTGGAAACACTTTGCAGTTCTTAGGTAAATTCAGGGAATAATCTTAAGCAGGTACTTTTTAATCATATACTTTCTCTGGACCATGCCCCTGGCTCTCAGGACTAGATTAAGGTTATGAGGGCCTTCAGGCTAATGGTATGAATGAGCCTAAGTATGAATTACATATTGCAAAAAATTATGAAGTCATCAAACTATATACATATTTACATAAAATTAACACATTTATTCTGCTCTAACTACACCCAAACAATTTTTTTCCTACTTTAGGTGTGGCAAAGTCATGAATGATGTCATCATAGTTCAAAGCCATGACAATTTCATTCTCATTCCTCAAGAAGGACAAAATACTGAGATGCTCCTGAGTTGTAGTGGGTCAGAGGAGATTTTGACCCTTGTTAGAAGAGAAAAGGATCATTCTCCACATAGTTAGTGATTACTGGTGACAAATACAGCTGTAATGCACTTTCAAAATTTGGGAAACATTCTGTCACATTGGGTTCAGTGATAACTTGATACATCCAAATAGATAAGTCAAGCTGTGGAACTCCTTGGCTGAGGAGGTTGTGAAGGCTAGAACTATAACAGGGTTTAAAAGAGAACTGGATAAATTCATGGAGGCTGAGTCCATTAATGGCTATTAGCCAGGATGGATAAGGAGTGGTGACCCTAGCCTCTGTCTGTCAGAAGGTGGAGATGGATGGCAGGAGAGAGATTGCTTGATCATTACCTATTTGGTTCACTCCCTCTGGGGCACCTGGGATTGGCTGCTGTCAGCAGACAGGAGACTGGGCTGGATAGGCCTTTGGTCTGACCCAGTATGGCCATTCTTATGTTATGTTCTTAGGTTCATCTTTTCTCTCTATATCTGAGAGTGATATTAATCCAATAAATTGAAGAAATTCTTTAGTAAAATCTAACTGGGAGATCATCTGGGCGCTTCTGACATAGATGCTTGCTAAGACCCTGGGCCCTGTGTTGGGATTTTGGCTACCACTAAGTGGCTTTTGGTTAATGTGGGAGCTAGGGGGATCTACTACAGCAGGGTTGGGCAGGCCACGCCACCAGATTCAGCCCGTGGACTCTCCTGTCGGGACTAGCACACAGCAGCCGCTGTTTTAAACACAGAACTGCTTTGTGTGACTCTCTATTCTGGAGGAAGGGGAAAGCTTTGTGTGATCTCCCCCCTCCAGCCCAATCCTCAGCTCCTATTGGCCACAAACAACTGGCCAATAGGAACTGACCCTAGACAATCTGGCAGACAGACCTTCATCAAGAGAACATTTTA